TTAAAAATGTTGCTCTGAATTAATTACAATACAAAACTGTCAAGTTCTTTTATTTCTCGGGTATTATTTATGAAAATTATTTTTGCAATCTTCAGAAAATATTTCTTCATGTATTAAAAGTCACTTAATTTCATTTTCCTCAATATTTTAAATTAATTTTGCACTTGTAATCCATGACCCCAAAAAAAAAAAACCAAATGTATTTTAATAAACCAACAAATTTCGATAGACTATCTTAAGAGCATGTCCCCTCTGCGGGTAAGGGGTTAGAATATTCCCGAGGTAGGGCTTGCCTATCGTAAAAGGCGACTAAAATCCCGGCGCTATGCCGAGACTTGTTGAAGTGTGCATGGTAGTAAGTGAGTGTCCCCACTTTCGACACCTAACCGGGATGTGAATCTGGTTCCACGGCGGTCACGAAATTTCCAATGGGGCTTTTAGCGGCGCATTACTTTAATACATGTATTTTTGAAAGCACAGTGATCTTAAGCCTTCAAGGCAGGTACCCACGCTAAGCAACACTGGATAGCCAAGAGCATGTTCAGATCAAATTGTTTTTAAGTTATTAAAACAATGCTGTGATAATTTAGATAATATGTGCTGTTCTTTTTTTTCGTTATCGCAGTTGTAATAAAAGTCTTAAGGTGTTCTACCTTTTCTATGAAATTTATGCGAAGTTTATAATTTGAATAGCATTTATCAAAAATATCGCCATAATTTTTTCACGATCTGGTATTAAAACCAGTTGTTTATGCAATGATACTTCTGAGTGTTGTACGATTGCATACAATCAACGTTGTACAAATATTACAGACAAAATTCAATAAACGTGATCAACAAAACACTATATTCACATGGTATAGCACCATGTAACTGATTATTACTTTGAGAAACGCGTTTCGAAGGAATGACAGTCATAAAAAAGAAATTCAGAATAATTTAAGAACCACTTCTCTGGATTCAATCAACAACGTAATATGTAATATATAAAGAGTTGTATCAAGCGTCGCTATATATATATTACATTCGATGGAGCCTACTTTCAAGTCTACAAAATAAATTTCAATTACTTGATGTTTATATTGTGTTTTATTTAATAATTCCGTATACTCTGAATGTGTTAGAAATTTTTGACATTGTTTTTATTAGACAAGTACAGATTTAGTAGTTCTACTTCTTATGTATTGTTGATTTGTTCATCGTTGATTTAAACTATCAGATTACAACAGATTGCGATCTTTTTTCCATCTCGCGTTGCTTTTTCTTTCAAATTTTTTATAAGCTACTATAGTCTCGTTAAAGGCATAACTACAACTTATTTTCTATAAGGAATATATGTGGTTAGACCTGATTTTACCGCCATATCGCCAGTATTAGTGGTGGAAATGTTAATATAACCTGGTACACAAAAAACTCGAATGCGATGCTTTTGAACACCCTCATTAAGATTCTAATATTAGCTAAGAAGATACTATTGGCAAGATTTCAAAATGCTATACTGATTAGGAATTTAGTAATGCATGTTTATTCCAGGAATACTAAATAGATCTCTTAGTTAATTTTGTCATATATTTTTGATGAGTTTATAAAAATTTTAAAGTTATATTCTAAGAGAAATATATTCATATGTCGATTCCTCCCAACTAGAAGTTATGTTATCGTACGATCAACCATATATAAGTATCGGACTTATTCTTACAGTTATATAACTGTAATTATTATAAATTATATTTTATGAAAAATAATTAAATAGTTCTATAGCTCTGCCACGTAGTAAGTCAAGAGCGAATTTCACAATAGAGCAGAGTGTACAAGTGTGTTGGTGATTTAGACTAACTACCACAGTAATTTACTTTTCATTTAATACAAAGTGTATTACATTAGTACTTTTGTTCTAGTGATGTCAATTAAATATTGAAATAAATCTAAATTTATTTTTAAGTAGAAGAATCTTCTAGTAGTTTAATCTTCAATTTATTATTAAAATAAAGGCAAGACTATTTTATTATTTTTATATATTATTAGTTGTATATGTTATTAATTTTATATAAAATGAATTTTTTTTATATAAATCCGCAGGCATCCTCGTCTACAGTTTTAATAAGAATAGAACTGAATGTCGGACAATTTCGACATTCTTTGACTAATGCACTTTTCTCTTTAATAAAAATGCAGAGATGTTAAATAAAATTATAGTTTATTTTCAAAAAAATAAGCTTGCTTGTACAAAGTAAGCATCCTTGTACAAATTTTTTATTTAGAAAGTAACTGAATGTCGATCCATTTTAATATTCTTTGACTACTACAAACTTTGACTACAAACTTGTCACCAGTGATAAAATTAAAACATTCTGCACTTCATAATTCATTTATTACCAAATAACAAAGACTATAATATTTATACAATTCATTATATAAAATGATATCAATATTTAATAATCCATATTTTAAGGTTATTTATCTGCAAATGTAAATGATGAGAAGTTTCTTCTGCCAGTCATAAAGTTTAAAAATCATCTGGCACCTTTTCTTTAGATTTTTAAAGTACTATAGAGAAAATCTCGGCCTATTTTAAATTCATAATAATTTGCAAAATTAATATGCAAGAAACGTAACCAAAAAGTCTTCGAAATTTATGTAGTGATGAGTGAAAAAAGGATTCTTTGCAATATACTTTTTCCGTTTGATAAAGAAAAATTAGTGCCGGAAACACGCAAAGAGCGTAGGAAAATGTGACATGTTCATAATGAACTTCCCAAAGCTGGAAAGCCTTGTATATTGACACCTTGTGAAGGGTCTGTGGTTTTTGATTTAATTTTTTTCTTTTTGTATTATATTTAAAATTAATGTCGAAATGCAAAATAAGCAAACTAATGAACTTTTTCTTGCAAGATATTTTAGAGTATACTTCTATATATATGTATGTATTGTGACAATATTAGTATTGAGTCAATTAAAAAGTCTTGAAAAAAATCTACGTGACTACAGAAGTTATTAAATAAAATATCTTTGGAAGAAACGTGCTGCATGGGTTGTAATAAAACGTAAGCTACTACTTGAGAACAAACTAAAGAAGTTAAGGAAAAATTTATTTTCAAATGAAATGAGTACTTCGCAAATATTTTGGTAACAAAGTAAAATATTTCAGAAAAGTAAAATGTTGTCTTAAGTGTCAGCCAAAATGACAATGGAAATTAAAATTTTAACAAAATTGAAGTAAACGCTACGAAGTTAATTTTTTCATCTTAATGCTGCCATTACTTAAGTTAGTGTGCAAAGTTTAGGTATTTACCTTGGTGGCTGGCGTAGCACTTTGTTAACTTAGAGAAGTAAAAATGTAGCATTTACTTTTTCTTATATCCATTTCGTATATCATTGAGTTTTACGAGACTCATAAATATGAACACATTTAACTCTTCTAAGCAACAAAACAACGAAATTACAATGCCAACTTACTGAACAGTTCTTCGCAGGTGCCTTAAGCAGTGCGTATTAGTAGCGTGGTTTGTAGTCGAACTAATTGTTGCTCATACGCACTGTAATACTCCTTGTTCTACACGATAATATGTTTTAGAAGTGTGTAATAAGTTTTTCTTGAGATAACTTTGTGGGTGAGTGTATATGGGTGGATGTGCAACAGCTTGAAATAATTTTCAAATTTTGTAAAAGTATTTTGACTTGGCAATTTTGGAATAATAAAATGGAAAGAGTAAAATAACATTTAAGAGACAAATGTAAAATTAAATATTTTTCAAGACACTTAAATTACAGTTTAATTATTTTGCTTGTCTAAGGCATGTATATGGACTGATATTTATATATCATTATATATATATATTTTTATATTGATATATAAAGTTTTGTTTAAATTTCAAATCTTTTAAATTTTATAGAAATAGTTTTAAAAGATTAAATTGTAATTTACTGTATGATATAGAAATGAATAGTAATTTCTTGTTACACTTAAGTTTGACTAACGTGTAATACACACATTTTTCATACTGTAAGGCATATTATTAATGAAGCCAATAGTATTACTGTTCGCTATTTATGCCTGAATAATTATGCTATGTCCAAAATACATAATATTCTTTTGTATATAGTTTTTGATATATAGTTTAACTTATTGAAATGCTCTTTATATTGGTAGACGTTTTTGGATCCAAATTGATTCAAAAACTAACACGTTAAAATATGCTCTTAAATCTCGAAAAAAAACTAAATCGAAGAGATTGGAAAGAATTCTAAATAAGGGTTTAAACATCCATAAATAAGTAAAAGATTATAATAAATTTTAGATATTTTAATTTACTTAAATTTAATGTGTTTTAAAAGTCTTTATAAACCCTGCATCCCTTCCTTATTCCAAAAAACCTTCCCCGCAGTTATAATCTTCTACATAATCCATTTTCTAACCCATATAGTGATATATTGTAATCTAAATTTAGAAACCTAATTTATTAATGAAGTTTACAACGTATTACAAAAATCAAAGTACACTAAGGCCCGCTACACATTATAAACCCCTCATCCAAATCTTATCTTAAATAACCTTCTTCACATTCCTAATCTCTCATCGAATCTATTTCCTAACCCATGTAGTGAATTATTTTAATCTAAAATCAAACATCTGATTTATTACTATATTTTACAATGTATGTCAAAAGTCAAAGTACACTAAGACCCGCTAGACACTATTGACCTCTCATCCATTTCTTATCTTAAACAACCCTCTTCTTTTTATTCGTATATTGTAATTCTTTTCTCGTTTCTTGCAACATAGATCTGCTCGAACATCGAACATAGGTTATATTAAGCAATCCACGCTAATCAGCGGTATCGCTGCATACATCAGCATATAAATTATTTATACTAAGTTATATTTAAATATATAAACCTATATTTATAAGCCTATAAATATATATATATATATATATATATATATATATATAAACCTATGTAAAATATTTGTATAATTAATTTTACTCTTTGTTTTTCAGAAATGGAATAAGGAACTACCCATATCGTAACAACAACTTCAAATACAATCCAAACGGTTACTATAAAAATCCGGTAAAAATCTTTAATAACTAATCTTCTTTAATTTAAATAGATAAGTTTTATTATTACGAGTAGGTATTTTATGTTTTTAGATTTTAGAATTAAAAAATGTTATATATTTTGTTTATTGTAATAATTTTTTAGTTAAATATTTTACACATATTACACATATTAATGAGGGAACTCTTCAAGGGGACTGAATAACAAAGTCTCAAATTTCATAACAGTTATAACATTTTAAGAATATTAATCTTTTTAAATGAAATTTAACTTAACCAAAATTCCATAAGAATTTGACAAAGTCTTAGTTATTCAATAATTTCAATAATTTTACTTTTTTAATTATTATATTCAGAATCTGAACACATACAATCTCTAGTTTCTTAACTGAACAAATATAGGATTAAAAGACTCTGCAACCATATTTAGTTCACTTTTTTAATAATATATTTGTGAAGTGGAATAAAACTGTTTTCTACCCCATCTTCAGTGTCTTTGCAAAATCTTGATTACATGTTATAGTTCTTCATGACAATTTTTTGTTGAAAAACGATCTGTGAGAAATTGTATTAAATTTCTTTCACCATAAACAGAAAAATGTTTTTTCTTGTCAAATTCGTACATTTATCGCCATAAAGTTTTTAAATATACTACATGATCCTTAATTTGTGTAAAGATAGAATGTATCTTTACATTCGTATCTTAAATTAAAAAAATTTTCTAGATGTCAAGGAAAAAATTGTTTTGTAAATTTTAGTTCTACAACCGAATATTAACCTTAGATTAGGTTAAGTTATATCGGCGATTCTTAAGGGATTCACTAAGGCCTATTGGTCCATTGTTTTTCCGTATAATGTAGAAACGCAGAGTTTAAAACCACTTAGAACATTGGGCGAAGCTTAGAATCTTGTTTAGTGGGAGGTCTTGTACTTGATCTAAATTCTCAAGGAAGGGAACCCGTAAAGTGTTGAGTCGTAGCCATGTATGAGCTGGGTAAAAGCAAAATAGATAAGAGGTACGAACTAGTAGATTCATCGTCTTCCCCACAACTGCGACAGATATGTTTGAATGGGAGATTCAATCTTCTAGCATGGTTACCTTATCTATAACCTGTAAGTGATAAGACTGATACCATAAAACTGATATCACTACGGGGCATCTCAATAGGAGAATTGGATTTCCTTTTCGTGAAACAAATTTCATTCAGATGCATACATATCGTTTAACTTTAAATTCTTGAAGAACTACAAAAAAAAAACACTTCTTTTTGTCACATAGTATTAATATCTGATTATTAAATTATTATACTATATTATAATTTATATACTTTAAGAATATATATAATAATAATATATTACTAATATATTTGTAGTTTCAAGATTTTTTTGAATATAGTTTGAGAGTAAAGAAGATTTACTTTTGTGTATATATCCAATCAAATATAATTATCTTAATTTTATGATTTTAATAAACGTATATGTTTTGTATAAATAACTTTTTTTTTTAAAATCTGTATTAAAAATTTAACGGTAAGATTCAATTTATTATACATATTTGCAGATATCATGCAAGCTTATGGCTTATAGTTTTTTATTCGAGTGAATTTTTTATAATTATTATTTTATAGATTTTAAACGTTTTCATAAATAATTTGATATTTATCTTTGTTATAGTCTTATATTTAACACTATATTAATTATTCTATATTTATAATATATTATTTTTTTTTAAATTTTCAGTATAACGGGTATAAACAAAATAATAACCGATTTAACTTCAACAATCGTTATCAACATAATTCAAATAATAATAATCGCATTTGGAATTATAATCGATTTAAAAATTATAATAATAATAACAATTTTAAAAGAAGCGCTTATCCGAAGTATAATTGGGGGAATCATAATAATAAAGGAAATAACCAATTTTATAATAAAAATAATAATAATAATAGAAATAACAACAACAATAAAAATAATTCTCAAAGTCATTTTGACGCTGATGAAGAACAAAGTGTAGAAGAATCCATAAATTCTAGTGTTAACAGTAATTCTAATATTAAGAACAATAAAGTAAATTCGATTTCCCATAATATACATTTAAACAAGCAATCAACGTCTTCAACTGAAGTTCCAATAACATCTACAGATACAGATGCCGGAAATAAAATAAATAAACTTCAAAGCAATACGTCTAAAATAAGTATACGTGAAAAAAATATTAAAGGAATTACAAATCGAAAACCAGTCAAGAGAAAACAACAAAATTGTTTAAAACATAAAGATTTCTATACGAAATTTAAAGATACAACTGAAACGTCCGCAATAACCACACCACATGTACAAGATTCTAAAAACGAAACAGATACAATTGTAAATATAGATACTTTGGCAAAACTATTAGGCGTGGATATTGGAGAAAGAGGAAAAATAACAAGCGATAATAACAAAAAGTTAGATACCGTAGAAAACGATCAACCTAAAATATCGATCGTACCAATTCAAAGACTTGTTAGAGACGATTTGTTTACCGAATATGATCCTAGTTCAAATACAATAAAATTGCAATCAACTTTTTGCAAACCTAATATTTTTCCAGAATTTAAATCTAGGCAACGTAAA